AGTAGGATTAATCTTCTGGGGACCATGAATGTACATAGAAAAATATATTGCAATCCGTCCAATAGTTGTTGAGATATTTCAGTCTGAACCAAAGTTCTTGACTGACTGACCTTACCATCCCTAGAGCTACGCTGACATGACTGAACAAATCCATTATGTGTACATTTATACAATTGTAAACCTCCCTATTCCATAACTCTAGAAATTATTTCTTAGTTACTTGGGTGTGTTTGTGTGGTTTTTGTGTCACAACCTTTATGTCATGTGACAGGTCATATTCGCTGACCTCAACAACGTGTTAAACGTACTGGGTGTGTTTGTCTCCCTGGTTATTGTTATGATTCGGTTACTGCTTATGTGGCTGTGGAAGCGCACTGATTGGCTCAAGCTGGAGTTGAGTGAGCTAGTAAAGTTTTGGCAGGCAGAGGAAAACCTCAGTCGTTTTCAATGGACATAAACATCAGTGCTGCTCTGCCTTCAGGGTAGTGTTTTCTTCTGCTAACTGATCATTTGAATAACAGCTACACATTAAGTCTGTGTGAAATTATACACTGAAAGAAGATTAAAAACATGCTCTCTCTTATTTGCCTTGCAAGTTTGATGAAATAATTGAGGGCTCCTAAATGTTTATGTCTTGATGATACTGACAGACATCTCTTTTCCATGCTTTGTACTGGGATTTATGGAGTCCTGTCTGTTTTTTAGAGTTAACATAATGACTTTGGATTGAGAGGCCATCATCCGCACACACTCGTGCATACTCACGCAAGCACACACACACACACACACAGCAAGTTTGGCTGGTGTTTATGGCACTGAATAGACCATGGTAGCTGAGGCATTATACAAGGCAGGAGGATAAGACAGAGTCAGCAGTTAGCACTGTGGAGCAGTGTGGATTTTATGCATACTGGCTGCCTTCATGCTAGCCTAGCGTAGCACGACCCTGGCTGTCTGCGTGGCTGTGTGCTAGTCTACCATGAAATAGCTCAGGTCTAAATGTGCCCTCAACACTTGTGGCGGACCTCTTTGTAACTGTAACTGCCTACTGGCTCAGTGGTTAGAGAAAATGTCCCCTTTTGACTTAAAGTTCAGCACCTGCAACCAGTTGCAACCAGGTGGTCCTGCACTGTGTCCTTGAGCATATGTGGAGTAACTCACTCAGTCACAAGCTGCACAGGATAACAGTGTAACTGCAAACTGTAATATTGGTTTATTTGTGTAAACTGTCGTGGCTAAAAAAAGACACAGGGTATGATATTTTCTTCATAATTGACCCAAAATTGAATTGAAACATACTGTGCTTTGAACTAGTTATGTCACATAACACTTTAAAATCTATTTTAATTTTAAAATGTAATTGAATAAGAAAGTACTAGAAAAAAAACTTGAGGCAGTAGTTAATTAGTTAGTGGCATTCTTTTATTTTAATTTGCATACTTAGTTGTATTGATAATTATCCCTTAGTTGAGCAAGACATTGATTTTTTTTTTCAGCAGTACAGTTTTGGATGAGGGGTTTTTCCATCTTATCGCACTCGCACAATAAGCCAATTGAGTTATTACTGTCACATATAATTCCTTAAGAACTGCATTTTTATATCTCTGATATGGTTGAGAGATTAGTTGTTTTTCCAGAGGAGTCAGGCAATATATATATATTTATATTTTTTTATATATTTTTTGGGGCTTTTATTGCCTTTATTATAGTGACAGCTGAAGACAGACAGGAAAGGGGGGCAGAGAG